ACAACAGAAGTCATCTCAGGCCACTGAACAAGGCTACTGACCATAAACTGTACCACAGACTATATCCAGAGGAGACCATGTCTAGTCTGTATTTCAAAGCTCATGTTCAATAATCCAGGTTAAAAATCCAACCAGTCACCATCAAACTGGTTGGCCCATTATGTGAGTGTGCTACTTATGGCACTGAGTTTTTTGTGGCTCCTCAGACTGATGAAGTCCTTTGGATGAAAGACAAAACGTTTCAAAAATAAACCATCCAGAGGACCTGACTTAATGTTGTTGGACTGGTCTGTATGGTTTACCTAAAATTCACAAACAAGCTGTACGTTTAAGACCGACTGTTAGCATAACTCTGTCATGTACAACGTTCCAAATACACATTCTCTGTAATCGTCCCTTTAGCTGGCATCTCAGAACTTCACATACAGAACACCACGGACATGAGGCAGCCGTGGCCAACGTGGTTCAAAACATAAGATGGTTTCATAAAGGTTAAACCATCTTATCACCATCAAACTGGTTGGTCCACTATGTGAGTGTGCTGCTCGTGGGACTGAGTTTGTTGTGACTCCTCGGACTGATGAAGTCCTTTGGATGAAGGACGAAACATTTCAACACAAACAAACCATCCAGAGGGCCTGATTGAACTTTGTTGGATGTTTTACCTGGATTATCGAGCATGAACTTTGATGTTTGATCAGATGTTTATTTGACTTTCAATTGCTCAAATACAAGTATTTTGTTCATGGGGTTCAACTGCATTTGGCCCGTTTGCTTCCCTTTTAGCTGCTAATGGCTTTTGTTTCCTGACACTTCATTCAGTACTGAACCATCAGAACCTCCTGCAGTCCTCCTGTGCTTTAGACTGCATATTCTTTTTTTATAATTATGGATTGATCTCCCTGTGGCAGCAGATTGATGCACTGAGGCGACATGGACAACAGAGAGCAGCAAAGCCTCAGTGTTTTCCTGTTTGAGCGTCAAACTAAAAACCAAAGTTGTCCTTTTTAAATTTGTTATATTAGGACCATATATGAAAGCAAATCAAGCATTTGTGTAACTTATTACTTTTTTTAACGCAAATGCTTCATGTTTTTCAACAGGTCCAAAAAATTTAATATTTACAAAAAATAAAAGAAGGAAAAATTCACAACGCACACGTTTTATGAGATCACTTCATGTAAAGTGTTTATAAATGTTTAAAAAATATATTCATACATTAAACCACTGCAAATATAACTGCCAGACATTTTATTTTGGTAAAGATATTAACGCCATAAAGGAAGGATACAAAAATTACAGCGCAAGATAAAAACAAAACAAAAAAAATGATTATTTATTTATTTATTTATTGTGATTTGAACATTGTTCCTCGACTACAAACCCAAGTTCAGCATCAAATATTTAAGATTTGGAACAAGAGTAAAAGACAATTAAAAAAACTTTTTGTTTGAACGTATAAATAATTAAAAGGACAAACATCTGTCTTCATGAACAGAATTAATAAATAGTAAATATAAAAGTACGACTATAATAAAAAAAAACACACACACAAATCAGATTTATTTGGATTTGTTGTATCATCACCAGGTCCATCTCCCTCCAACAGAACATCTCAATCATCCATTTCCGCACAGTTTTGCACTTTCAGAACCACCTGATACCGAACCGCACGAACCGAGCCCGGAAGTTCCCAGCGCGCATTAATTAGTGATTGGCTCATCCTCCTATAAAAAGGAGGCGCGCGCGCCGCTGCGCGCAGTCTCCCAGCGCGAGCAGAGATGAGCTACGGGTCTGAAGTCTTCTCCTCCTCCTCCTACCGGAGGCTTTTCGGGGATTCTCCTCGGTACTCCTCCTCTCCATCGCGCACAACGATGAGCGTCTCCTCCCGGGCAGGGTACCGCTCCTCCTCCTCCTCTGTGTCCCGACTTGGCGCTCCGTCTGCGGGCGCGTGGAGCAGAAAGTCGGGCCGCTCCTTCTCCATGCCGCTGGAGAGCTTCGACCTGACGCAGAGCAGCGTCCTCAACAACGAGTACAAGATCGTGCGCACCAATGAGAAGGAGCAGATGCAGGGTCTGAACGACCGCTTCGCGGTGTTCATCGAGAAGGTGCGCCACCTGGAGCAGCACAACAAGGTCCTGGAGACGGAGCTGCTCGCGCTGCGCCAGCGCCAGGCGGAGCCGTCCCGCCTGGCGGAGCTCTACCAGCAGGAGATCCGGGAGCTGCGCTCCCAGCTCGAGGAGCTGACCGGGGAGAAGTCCCAGCTGCTGATCGAGCGGGACAACATCGACGACGACCTGCAGAAGCTCAGGGGCAAGTACGAGGAGGAGTTCCGCGCGCGCGAGGAGGCTGAGGCCACCCTCAAGGCTTTTAAGAAAGACGTGGACGACGCCACCATGGTGCGCCTGGACCTGGAGAAGAAGGTGGAGTCCCTCCTGGACGAGATCTCCTTCCTCAGGAAGGTGCACGAGGAGGAGGTGGTCGAGCTGACCGACATGATCCAGGCCGCGCAGGTGTCCGTGGAGATGGAGGTGTCCAAGCCGGACCTCACCTCCGCGCTCAAGGAGATCCGCGGCCAGTACGAGTCCATGGCCTCCAAGAACCTGCAGTCCGCCGAGGAGTGGTACAAGAGCAAGTTCGCGGACCTGTCGGAGCAGGCCAACAGGAGCAGCGAGGCCATCCGAGCCAGCAGGGAGGAGGTGAACGAGTTCCGGAGGCAGCTGCAGTCCAAGACCATCGAGATCGAGAGTCTGAGGGGAACCAACGAGTCTCTGGAGAAGCAGCTCCGGGAGATGGAGGAGAGGCACAACATGGAGATTGTGGGCTACCAGGTAAACTTCATTCTGTTTTCTTCATTGAACAGGAAAGCAGCTGTTTCCTGTCAGTCAGTTTATTTACACTGAGATGATGAAACTCAGCAGCAGCAGCAGCTGGGGCGCTGTCTGTGGTGCTGAAACCACCACCTCCCAAGAGAAAACAGCCTCTGACTACGCCCCCAGCACCCAAATGATCCCAGTGATTTCTGTTTCATCAAACCTCTCTGACTGAGGAGTGCCTCAGCTCCGACATTTAAACCTGTTTCACCTCAAATCTCCACAAAACAATGACAACTTTCTGATGACGCTTTAAATCTCGTTGCCCTGTTCTCGCCCAGGAAAGCATGGCTGAGCTGGAGCACGAGCTGCGGTCCACCAAGAGTGAGATGGCGCGACACCTGAGGGAGTATCAGGATCTGCTGAATGTCAAAATGGCGCTGGATATCGAGATTGCAGCATACAGGTGAGGTCACTGGATCAGCTGCGCCTCCTCTTCCATCCTCCCTAAATCCTTTCTCCCTTTTTCTGCAGGAAACTGCTGGAAGGAGAGGAGACCCGCATCGGAACAGGCATCGCCTTCCCCGGCCCCGCCATGAGCGCCGTCGCCGGACAGGGCTACAGCTACCAGTCCCGCGTTTACACCAGCTCTGGCAAGAGCTCCAAGAAGGAGGGCAAAGAGGAGGAGCAGCAGCAGAACAAGGCCAGCAACAAAGTGTCCCAGCGGGAGGTCTACGAGGAGACGGTGCTCACCACGAAGAAGATGGAGAAGCAGCAGGAAGATATTCCCACCAGTCAGAAAAACTAAAAGCGTCGCTCCGTTCTAACCCACACCCTCACCTTCATAAACCATCTTAGGACGTCGGCAAATAATTAGTGAAGGATCTTCAGATTTGTTTTGGAGAAGCATCCCACCCCACAGGTGTTCCCTAAAACAAATCCATTATAACCAGTACACTAAAAACAATACATCTCTTGCTATTTTCCACAAACTCATCCTTCAATAATAACAAGCACTAGGTAGACCGTGTGCAAAAGTATGGTCTTTCAAAAGAACAATATTCTTCTGGTCTTTCTCACTAATGTGACATCGTTATGGTCTCACACAAATAAATAACACTTAGTTGTGCATTTCACCACAAACGGTGAGTTACTCGTCAATGGTGCACATTTACACACAAAATAGATCTAAACCACATCAACTCTACAGAATCTAATTTAGTTGATCACTATCTGGGAGGAAATGCCGCATCTACATGAACAAAGTGTAAAAAAAAAAAAAACAAACAACTGTAATAAGCTTATTTAAATCACTTCTTGCATAATCTTTGAAGAATTAGAAAGCGGTCTGATCCGAGCTGCAGAACAGTACGAAGGTCTGTTTTTTAAAATTAGTTTTTTTAAATAATTTTATTAGTTAATAACTCTTGAGACAAACATTTAACAAGAATCATTTAGACGCCCTGCAGAGATCAGCAGCTCATTCAACAGGATTTGACTGTTTGAACTGAAATACAGTAGTCCCTAGAAACTTCACGGTTTGACTTTCGCAGACTCACTGTTTCGCGGGTTTTCGACGTAAGCTTTTACGCGACACACGATTCAGGGGCTTCGGATGTTATCAGCCCGTTGAATAAGCGTTATTAGTTGTTTATCATCCCCATAGGTTGATTTCAGACTGTCCCTCGTACCTCCTAGTAGTTTTAAATTTACGTTATCACTGACAATATGCAGATTTGCACACCTGTAAAACCACATTTTTTAAAAACCTTTATTTAACCATTTTCCTCAAACTAATCTTACATCTGACCCTAAACTTAACCTCTTTACCACTGAACCTTAACCTTTACTTTTAACCATGTGACCGTATTATCAGTGCTAACAACGTGCCTTTAAACCTACTAGGAGGTGCAGGAGGGGCAGTCTGAATGCAACCTATGGGATGATAACCACTAATAACGGATCATTTAATGGGTGATAACATTCAAGGCGGGTGTACAATTGGCTGATTGATGGAAGGTGACCAACCAGAGCTTTGTGCTCTGTATCTCGGGTGCTGATTGGCTCAGTAACTGTAGCATCAGTCTGTCTGCTCATTAGGGAGCGGGCAGCCCGGTCCCTGTCCGGGGACCGTACCTCCAGCTTCTGTACGATCCTCCCCATCCTCCTTCCCTCCCAGTCCACACACCTCCGGGCGTGCACCTGAGGCACCTTCTCCCATCAAGCTCGAGCTCTTACCCAGTGCAATGCTCGCTATATCAAGAAGGATGGTATATGATGGAGAAGCTGGGCCTGTGATCGGAAAGTCGCAGGTTCAACTCCCGGTACCATCAACATCAAAATGTGGATGTTAAAGATGAAACACCCACACCTGCCTCCACCCTCATTTGCCAGGCCCTTTAGCCCCACCAGCTGCTCCCAAAAACAGGTCTCTCTTGAAAATGAGTTCTTCTGATTCAATGAGACTACCTGTATAAATAAAGGGTAAATGAAAAATAAAAAAAATAAATATATATATATATATATATATATATATATATATATATATATGTATATACAACTTCCCTACTTCATGGATTTTCACATATTGCGGTGGTGTCTGGAACGTAACCCCCGCGATAATCAAGGAACTGCTGTATAAGCATCATTATGCACAAACTTACAAAGCTCGATACTGGAATTGAAACCAGTTTGATTTGATTTTATAACACTTGAGTACAAGTCGTCCATTGATAATGTGAATAAAAGACAGAATACTCTTTTCTGAAGCACATAAATTGAAACCGGGGCTGGTCCGTGTTTAACCGTTTGCACAAGAATCTATGCTGCAGTTTGTACGAAAACACGAAACGAGATGCTCAATTTCTGCTGATACACAAAATGTCTTGAACAGACCAGCCAGCTGGGCAGGGGATGATCAATTATACTTTAGCACAAATGCACGAGATTCTATCGGATTCTGGGTTTGATTTAAATCCTGAAGCACATTTAAACACAACATCGCAAAAAATAAAATAAAAAAAGCGAAGGAATGAGTTGGAAACAACTCGACCTCGCTGTTTATATCGGCGGCCATGACTGGATCAAATGTCTGTTGTAGCTTGACTTCACTACTAGAAACCCTTACGTGCAGCTTTTTAAATTTCCTGCTTGTGCACTTCCGGTTACACTCAGCTATCTTTTGCTCCTGGTCGAGGTGATTAAAGCCTTGACCAACTGCGTGCTCGCACTACAAATAGCAACAAAATCACTGCTGACTGTACAGCTAGCTGCTCTGGATTTGGTTGTCTTAGCTGAAGCTTAACAGCGAAGTATCTTAGTACTGTACGAAGCGTGTTTGTGTCTTTACACAGTGGCCTATAATGCTTGGAGTAGTAGAGCGAAAGGCAACAAATCTCACAGATGAGCATTTTGGTTTGTGGAATATTGAATTCCAGTGTAAAGCAGATGATTAAAACATGTCGGAGGAATTATGTTTTTTCTATTTACGCACTCGGCTGCGAGGGACGAGCTTCATGTTTGCAAAGGTTAAGCCTGTAGCCTTACACCGTGAACCAAAAAAACATCACTACTGCAGCACTGCCAAACTTTTCTAAATGCACATTTGTGGAAAGATTTTTGTTTTTTCAAAGAAATAAAAGCAATGTCACCAATCCGTATTTACCCGTACCGTAGGACAAATACTGTAGGATGTAAAATGCCTTAAAACACCAGCAGCTTGTGGTCGTGTGTTACATGTGGGCTGTTAGAGCTTTATTATCTCCTCTCTAGTGTTTATTCTCATTACATCTAAAGCATAGGGAATGAATGTAGTTGACATGCTGTTCTCTTTACTGTGACTACTTATGTATTGCTGTGTGACACCATATCAATAAAAACGTGACTTTACTGGGGCTGCACACCGCTTTGTCGTGTCTCTTTTACTCGTCTTTGAGTTATTTTTGGCTTTTCAGTGCGGCAGCTGGAAAACAAACGTTTAGCCTTTGAAACTGCTTGATTTATTAAAAAGCATGGTACTAAACCACAGCTGAGAGGGTTTTACTTCGGCATTTAAATGGTGCTTTCTGCCCACAATCTGTTAATACATAAGTTAAGGTACCATGTAAATGTGGCATTATTGGTAAATAATATGCATTGTTAAATTAAAAGTATTGATTAAGAAAAGTAGTGCTTTATTTAAAACTAGAGGAATCGCATTTCCTGCGAAAATGCAGTGCGAATGCTTATTGCAGAAGAACTTGCTGAAAAACAGCTGAAATGAGCTAAAAGCATGCTGAAATGTAGCTGAAATGTAAGAACAAACCCAAATTAGCAGAAGAAAGCAGAACAAATAAATACTGTATTTCCTGAAAGGTTTTAATAAGCAAAAAAAAGAGCATAAAATCGGAAATTAGCTATAAAATAAGGCTGAAATTAGCAACAACAACAAAAAAGATGAAAAGTAGCTGAAAAGGCCGAACGAAGCCAAAACTACCATTAGGAAGTGGAAGGAGCTGAAATTAGCTAAAAATGTGGAATTAGCTGGAAAAAACTGAATTTAGCACAAAAACAGCTGAAATGGCTGAAACTATCAGAAATAAACTGAAAGGAGCATAACAAGCTGAAATTAGCACAAATAAGTTAATTAGGCTGAAAGTAGCAGAAATTACCATGAAAAAATTGAATGTCTGAAAACAGCTGAAAATACTAAAAACTAGCTGAAAAGGTGAAACAAGATTAAAGTAAACGAAGAAAGCAGAAAGAACATGTTTGTCCAATTAGGCTGAAAGAAGCAGAAATGAGCCCACCACAGCAGAAATTATCTGAAAAAGCTGAATTTATATATTTTTTTAAACTGCTGAAAAGTAACAAAACAAAAAAATCAGAAGAAAGCTTACATTACCAGAATGAAGTGGAGAAAGCATATTTTTGCTGAAATAGGCTGAAAAACGTTGAAATGAGTGCAAAAATGTGGAATTAGCTGAAAATGTTGAAATTAGAATAAAAACAGCTAAATAATAACTGAAATAGCAGAAAAAGCAGAAACTTGCAGAAATAAGCTGAAAGGAGCATAACAAGCTGAAATTAGCAAAATGAAGTCAGAAAAAGCACAAAAATGTAGTTAGCAGAAAAAGAAATCTGGAAAGAGCACAAAACAACTGAAAGCAGCTGAAGTTTTTTTTTACATTTGCACAAATAAGCTGAAAGAAGCTGAACAAGAACAAAATGTAAAAGGAGCAGTAAACGGTTGTAAACAGATCCAAAGATTTGAAGGATCTAAAATGAGCTCAATTAATTTTCTACAAGGGAAAAAAATGCAGAAAAGGCTAAATATTTCAAACAGCTAAAGTTGCACCAATACCAAAAGTCATAGCAGGATTGTCCTGAAAGAGCTGAACATTTTGAAATATAATTTATTGAAATAGCACAAAAATTGTGTAACAAGAATTGCATCAAAAAATGTACAGAAGACAAATGGATCACAATAGTGTGAATGCTTCATAAACATTCACACTATTAAAGGTCTAGCAGCCTTTGAAGGAATGCACATCACCTGCCATCTTTTACGACAGAGGTTTTTTCGTTGAGATCTTATAATTAGAAATTAGAAGTAGCCATTTTGTTTAAACGTTGAAAATAACATTATGCAAAATCTGCTGCAAGATGAATGACACTCAGCTACTACCACACCAAGATTCTGCTTTACATCTGCAAAACTCACAGTTATAGGCATTTTTGTGTTGACTTATATCAGTTAGCTGTGGTGGCCATCTTGAATTGGACTGGCCCCAAACGTTAATGAGTTGTAGATGTACATCCATTGATAAATTTCAGAAAGTTTTATCAGAACACGTCTGGTGGTTCAAAAGGTATTTTGCTAACAGAGAGACTGTGACGGCCATCTTGAATTGGATTTGGTTCGAAGGTTAATCAGCGATTATTTCCTGAAAGTGGTTCATGGTATATGTTTGGATTTTGCTAACAAAAAGACACAAACACACGCACACACGTGGGCAAAAACATTTTATTTAAGGAATTAATTGTGACAAATTATAAACCAAATCAAAATCATTACTTGAACCTGTGTCAGTGAAGACTGTCCTTGACTTGTTCAGGTCAGACAGCTGTGTCCCCTTGACCTATTTTTCAGGGGCTTTTCCTTCTAATGACTGGACGTACACTTCGCAGATGATGGATCACCTGCTACCTGCTGACCTTCAGATCATAACTCCTGCTGCACACTCCGTCTCTTGGTCCTGGTGGACTGTCTCTGATTAGGCCGTCTCTTGTTCAGCAGCTGGGTGGGACAAGCTTGGAGCTGTTCGTGCACGACGCAGATTCTTTAAAGATTTATACCCCTGCAATGCTGCTGAGTGGAAGGTGTGGCAGGAGCCTCCATGTGGGACGTCACAGTAGAAGCTTCGTTATGAAACAGCTTCAAACCTGGAGCGCTTCAACTATTTCACGCTTCGCCTCTATTTACTTTACTTTGCTTTTATGACCACAGAACGTCCCAGAGCTGAATTGTCAAATACATCCCCCCACAAAAAAAAAACCCTGCTCACCCTGCTGGATTTATGTGAGGTTCACTATAACTGGTGCCCTGAATCCATCATTGAATTGTTTGCGTCATGGTTTGTTGTTCATTTGGAAGTTATAAAAGATATCTGAGCTTATATTAATTAGAAAAAAAAAATCAATTTGTTTTACTCACGTTCTTATTAAATCAAATTTGAGTTTATATGTTTTTATTTGAAAGATGTTTGTTACAATATGCCCTAAAATATATATTTTTATTTTATTTTATTTTGAGGAAATAGGTCCTATTAGCAGACCAATTAGACAGGTTTTTTTTTTTTTTTTTTGAGAAACACTCTCTCTCACTTTCTTAACTTTTAATCTTCTAAATATAAAAATTGTCCAAACATTTTTTTATTTATTTTAGCCCCTAAATTTACAATCATAGTCACCAAATCTACCATGGAAACTCTATAGTGTTTAAAAAAAAAAAATCAAATAATAAAAAACAAATGGGGAAAATAAAATAAAAGAAACAAGCCTTTTTTACAGGTACATCATTCGAACTGGCCATACCTGCTTCTTTCTGTCCGGGTCGCGGGGGAACCCACATGAGACCAAATTTTCTGATACCTCTAGAATGCCTTGATAGTCTTGAGATTTTCCTGTACCCAGCTCCCTGTTCCAGATGCAGCAAAGCAGCCCCAGAACAGAACCGATCCGCCTACATATTTCACTTTAGGTACAATTTTCATAACAATAATAATAATACTTTATTTGTATAGCACTTTTTTAAACAAATGTTACAATGTGCTTCACATTAATCAATTAAAACAACATCATAAATGACACGAGAAACACAAAAAGTATACCAACTCAATTAAAATACATAACAATATAAGATAAAATGAAAATAAAAGGGATGCACGATATTGGATTTTTGGCCGATATCCGATATGTCGATATGTTAAAACTC